TTTCAAAAGTAACTGATACCTGCTGTTGTCCCGTTTCTTCTTGCTTTTATTTCTTGACTCCTGCATTTTGATGTCTTTCCGACAAGTACAACGAGGCAAATCTCAAGACTTCTCCAAAGTCTTCATCTTCTTTAACTCTTCCCAAACATTGGGATTATGGGTTGTTCCTAGACATCCTCTCTTCCCTTGGTTTTTATGACATGACTCTCTCAGTTCTCCTTCTACCTCTTTAACCACTAATTCTAAGTTTCCTCTATAAATTCCTTAAATGTAGAGGTTTTTTCAACTTTATCGTCAGCCATTTTCTTTCCTTCTGTGAATAGTTCTATAGGACTTTAAGGGCTTTTGGCATCTCCATTAGCCCTGACCATTTCTCCAGGGCTCCAGGGCAAATCTCCAGGTTTCAGATTTGCCTCCGCAATCTCATTGTTGGACACTTCCTTAGGGATGTTTCTTTGGTTCCCCAAACTGAACATCAAATTCATCCTCTTTTTTTCCAAACCTGTTTCTCCTCCCCCTCCTTTATTTCCAGTCTCATTTGGAAGTCTTGCCATTCTCTAAATCATCTTATATGGCTAAGGATAGCTACATAAGCTGGCCTTAAAGCTAAATTCTAGACAAATTCTTTTGAATACAATAGGGCACCCAGTTCCTCACCAGGTCTAAAATCCAACCATTAAAACTGCTCATTAAAATCCAACCACTGGGGCCAGGCATGGTGGCTCATGCCTATAATCCCAGCACTTTAGAAGGCCAAGGTAGGAGGATTGCTTGAGCCCAGGAATTTAAAACCAGCCTGGACAACAGACAATATAGTGAGACCTCATCTCTATAAAAATTTTTGTAAAAATTAGCTGGGTGTTGTAGTGCATACCTGTAGTCCCAGCTACTCAGGAGACTGAAGTGAGAGGATCACTTTGTTACCCATGGAGGGTCTCAACTACAGGTCATCCATGTTCTTGACATTTTGAACAAAGAATTGGACAAAATGCACAAATAAAGCAATGAAAATACAGAACAATGAAAGAAACAATAAACGCTCAGATTTATTGAAATGAAACTACACTCCAGAGTGGGTGTAGCTCAAGTAAGCAGCTCAAGACCACAGGTTACAAAATCTTCTGGGTTTTAAGTACCCTCTAGAGGTTTCCCATTGGTTGCACCCTATGTAAATAAAAACTTGGCCCACAACCAATTGGAGGCTGAAGTGAAGTTACACCCTATGCAAATGAAGATGTGATCTACAACCAATCAGAGGCTGAAGTGAAGTTATAACTCATGCAATGAAGACTTGGTCTGTGACCAATTGGAAGCTGAAGTGAAGGCTCTCTGTCTCCAGACCCTATTGAGGAGAATACTCTCTCAACTTGAGCCCAGGAGGTCAAGGCTGCAGTAAGCTACGATCACACCACTGCACTGTAGCCTAGGTGACAGAGCAAACCACCGGCCCCCCCACCAAAAAAAAACCTGACCATGAAAACCCTGCCATAATGAATTCAAATTTAAAATTTCTGTAATCTGATTTTACCTAATCTAAAAATGTCAGTGGCCTTATATTAGCCACTATACTAACCATATACTAATACTAAACATTCCCACCAGAACTTTGAGCCCCAATTCATTAATTTCTCTATTGATTTACTGAAAGAGCCAGTATCTACATGAACTGTTACATTGCTAAAAAGCTCACTATTTCTTGGGACAATTCGTTGCCGAAGTTATTAGGGAATTTTTTTTTTTTTTTTGAGAGCTTATCTTCCCTTTGGTTTCTACCGATTATCTTGGGTTTTGTCTTCTGGAACATTGTTCTCTTTTTTCCACCCTACTTTCTCTCTGATTGCCTAAGGTAACCATCATCAAGTCTTCAAGGTTTCTCTCTTCCAAACTAAGCATCAGCAAATTCAACTATTCTTCTGTGAAGTGGCATCCAGGCCCATCTCCTTCCTGATCACTCCCTACCAGTCTAGCCCCATGGATTCGGGCACGAACAGTGACTCTAGATGCAAAGCATCTTCCTGCCTGGGTGTCTTTACTACACTGGACTGATTCACTTACTCCCTACCCCTATTTCTCCTTCTTGCCACAACTCAGGAAGCCCGTTGTGTTGCCTATGACATTCTCTACCTGCTTCTGAGAAGCAGTGATATTGTATCTGACATCAGTAGAGTCTACAGAGTCAGAGATTCAGCTGGAAGGACTGAGCTCAGGGAAATAGCCATGACTAAGGGCCCTTCTTTGCCGGATCCTGTAACACTCTTCCGTTTTCATTTCGATTTGTTAAAGGCATGAAGATGTCATCCAACCGTAGCTCCTTTTAGAGGTTCCTCTACACAGCAAAACTCTGAGAAGTTGTACTGAGAAGGAGAAGGCAAAGGAGAAGAGAGAAGCAGAAACAGAATTGTCCATGACAAGAGCACAGAGATGACTGAAGAGTCAACCAGAGGAACAAAAAAGAGATGATGAATCAGTGTGGTGAAAGGCTCTGTGTAAAGGAGTGGGGAGTGGGGAAGGGAGAATGAGGACAGAACCGACCAAAGCCACAGTAGGCTTGTTTGAGCTCATGAGTACATAACTGGCTTCTCTAATAAGGGAGCAGTGGAGTCAGCTTAACTTAGGGTGCCTTGTAAGCTTGCAAAGAAGCATTTCAGTAAGACATGGTCACCGCCTCAGCCAATCAAAACAGGAGAGGAGAACCACCATTCTGTTTGATTTCTGGAGAGAATTTTTAGAACTTACAGAATGCTTGTCGGCACAGCAGCTCGTGCCTGTAACCCCAGCACTTTGGGAGGCCAAGCTGGATGGATCGCTTGAGCTCAGGAGTTCAGAACCAGCCTGGGCAACATGGTGAGACTCTGTCTCTACTAGTAAAAATTAAAAAATAGCTGGGCATGGTGGCATGCACCTGTAGTCCCAGCTACTTAGGAGGCTGAGGTGGGAGAATAACCTGATCCTGGGAAGTTGAGGCTGTAGTGAGCCATGATTACACCACTGCACTCCAGTGTGGGTGATAGGAGTGAGAGTTCGTCTTAAAAAAAAAAAAAGAATTTACAGAATGCTATAAGAGATCATCTGTGTCAATGAAATTATCTTTCTTTTTCTTTTTTTTTTTTTTTTGAGATGGAGTCTCACTCTTGTCACCCAGGTTGGAGTGCAGTGGTGCAATCTTGGCTCACTGTAACCCCTGCCTCCCAGGTTTAAGTGATTTTCCTTCCTCAGCCTCCCAAGTAGCTGGGATTACAGGCACCTGCCACCACACCCAGCTGATTTTTTAATTTTTAGTAGAGACGGGATTTCACCATGTTAGCCAGGCTGGTCTTGAACTACTGACCTCAGGTGATCCACCTGCCTTGGCCTCCCAAAGTTCTGGGATTACAGGGGTGAGCCCCCACACCCTGCCTGTATCAATGAAATTACTCTCCTGCACTCTGCGGACTAGAGAGTGGTAATGGACATTGTGGCTTGTGTTCTTGCTCTCTGTGTGTGTGTGTGTGTGTGTGTGTGTGTGAGAGAGAGAGAGAGAGAGAGAGAGACAGAGACAGAGACAGAGAGAGTGAACACGGGCAGGGAGTGTAAACTGAAGGAATAAAGCTCAGTACTTGAATGTTATCTTCCTGTTTTCTTCCTTGGGAAGGGATACAGACCACTCAGAGTGGGGAATGGACAGAAAGAACAGGGCTATGATTCCAGAGGTCATGACCCTTAGATGAGCTCTCTGAGTAAGGAGTGAGACTAAAATCCAGGCTGCAACCCACCCGTGTTGCTTCCTTAAAGGAAATCCATGCCCACTGGAAGCCTCTACCCAGGGGAGCCCCCTGAGCTGCCCCTCATTCACATCCTTCTGAGCCACAGAGGAACCTTCCCACTCCACAGAAACGGGTCCAGAACAAAAAGAGGGAGAAGCTCCTTCGACAACAGGTGGGGCCACTGAGCTTGAACGGTGACCAGAGATCTGGTATTTTTCTCAAAATGCTGCCCATGGACCCACAGTACCTACGTCTTCCGGAGCTTGTAGAAATGCAGAATCACAGGCCGGCCCCATACCCGTGGAATCACAATCCGTATTTTAACAAACTCCCTGGGAGATTCATATGCACCTTCCAGCCTGCGAAACATAAATCTTACCTACCCATTGTACAAGGCCCCTTGCTCTGAGACTGGGAAAAAGTCACTTTGTATCCTGTAAACTGGTTCATCCTCCACTCCACGCAAAACCCCAAATCCACAGGTCAGTTTCTAGATGGCCCATTCCAGTTTAATTAATTGTTGATACATGATCTTGGATGGTGAATGTCACTGTTAAGGGTTGAATTGTGTCCCTGAAAAATTCACATATTGAAGTCTTAGCCCCCAACACTCAGAATGTGACTTGATTTGAGAATAGCATGATGGAAGATGTAATTAGTTAGGTTAAGATGAAGTCACACTGGAGTAGGGTGGGCATCTAACCCAATATGACTGGTGTTCTTATGTAAAAGGGAAATTTGGACACGGAACACACAGGAGAACGCCATATGAAGATGAAGGCAGAGCTCAGAGTGACGCTCTACAATGCTAGGAACACCAAAGACTGCCAGCAAACCACCATTAGCTAGAAGAGAGGCCTGGAACAGATCCTCCCTCACAGCCCTCAGTGGAAACCACGCTGTCAACACCTGCATCTCAGACGTCTCAACTCTAGAACTGTGAGACAACACGTTTGTGTTAAGTCACCTAATTTGTGCTACTCTGTTACGGCAAAGTTAGTCCTAGCAAACTAACGCAGCCTCCACTTTCCCACCTGAAAAAGGGGCATGTAGATTGATGGTTTCCTTCCAGCTCTAAGCTTTTATGACGTATTATTTCCTGATCTAAGATTCTATGACTGTTATTTCAGGAGTCCTAGGAACATGGATTAATATTTAATTTCATGCATGTTTTAAACATTCCTTTTTCATTATGTTTAAATTCTATGAAATCAACACGTTCGTGCCTGAAAAGCCTCAGTTCTGAGCTGCACTTACTTGTTATATAAGACGATGTCCGGCCTCCACACGAGGTCACTGGGGATCCTGATGGAGTCTAGGCCATCATACTGATCTCGGTCCCACGTGAGATAGGCATCGTGCCAGATTTGGCGGATCCACAAATAGGCGGTCAGAATTTGGTTTCTTTCATCCTACACAATGAATGCAGATGTAACTTTACCTAGCAGACACTTGAAATGTCTTCCATTGATAGGACACTTGTTCTTCACAATAGGAATTTCACAAACACTCATCTATTTTCAATAAGTAAGTGAGAGCTTTATTCTTTATTTATTCTATACCCTTGATTGACCTACCAAGATCATTCTTTTCCTCCTAGATTTAGTGTTCAGAATGTAAAGTGGACAAATATTTAAGTCTTGATATCTTTGCATGGATCAACTGCCCATATTTCCTGAAAATTGATCAATGAATGACGTACTTGAAAGCAAAAGTCAGGAAATAACAACGTGCAGAAGGAAAATCTTTCAAGTTTCATAACATTGTGTGATTAAATATAGATAAGCACTAATAAGCTATGCCATCTTAAAACACTACCTTTTTTAAAAAAAATTGAGATTGGCCAGGCGCGGTGGCTCATGCCTGTAATCCCAGCACTTTGGGAGGCCGAGGCAGGCAGATCACGAGGTCAGGAGATCAAGACTATCCTGGCTAACACGGTGAAACCCTGTCTCTACTAAAAATACAAAAAAAAATTAGCCAGGCGTGGTGGTGGGCATCTATAGTCCCAGCTACTCAGGAGGCTGAGGCAGGAGAATGGCGTGAACCCGGGAGGCAGAGCTTGCAGTAAGCCAAGATCACACCACTGCACTCCAGCCTGGGCAACAGAGTGAGACTCTGTCCCCCCTATCCCCCCCACCCTGCCAAAAAAAAGGATTGAGATTAAATTCACATTAAAACTCACCATTTTAATCATTTTAGAAGGGAACAATGCACTGGTTTCCAATATATTCACAATGTTGTGCAACCATCACCACTGCCTAACTCAAGAGCATTTCTTTCCCCCGGAAAGAAACCCCATAATCATTAAGAACTCACTGGCCATTTTCCCCTTCCTCCCCGCAGCCCCTGGCAACCTCTATGCTGTTTTCTGTATCTACGGATTTACCTATTTCGGACATTTTATATAAATGGCAGCATACAGTATGTAACCCCACCTTTCCTTAGATTTTCTAAGACTGTTATGGTTAATGACCAGGATTAGGTAACATTTCGTGAAATTAATTAGTTTTGTAGAAAGCTTCCTTTTCCCGGCGTTCTCTTCTCCTACCAGCTTGCATACGGAGCTATCATTCCCTCAAATTCCCAGTTAAGACATTCTCTTTAGAAAGCATGGTTGTTTATCCTCTGAGAATCATTCCACAGAGTCAGCACCATGTATTACTCACCATATCCTTAATCTGAGAGAGCGTAATCTGCAGTGTGACATTCAGGACTTTATCTGTATCTTCCACTGGACGAAGAGCATTGGAATAATCTTCAAAAAGGTCATTAAACAACTTCTGAGCATATTTTCCATCTGCCGTCTCCACAGCTACTCAACAAGAGGGATCTGGATCAACCTTCAGAGTGTTGTATGTATTTCAAGACAAAGAACACAAGACTGAGGTCTAAAATGGGGGATGGCCCAGCACTGGCGAGGGACAGCTTTGGGTGGATGGATGAGTTGTTTTTCTGGCATGCCCTACCAAGGTCAGAGGCAGTAGCAAGCACGGAGCCCTTCCATGCGGTGGAATCATCTGTTTTGTCTTCCCCGCCCTGCCCCACCTCCCACCAAAGCAATAGCCCCAGATGAGACAAGATGGTTACATGTCACCAGCCGCTCACCTCTCAGTCTGGAAGCAGCAAAGTAAATCCAGCAAAAGGAGATGCAGGAATGGGACCAGTTCATCTTTTTCCTGAGCCTCTATAATAAAGTCTCGGTCAGGCAGCGTGGTCTTCCGCTTCTCCCTGTGAATACGAAGGATCTGGGCACAAGGAGCCCACACTGCCGCAGCCTTATGGCAGCAGCTGGAGAGCTCAGGCTTGCATTGCACGCAGGACCTAGATCCTGAGATCCAGGCCTGCCCTCCCTCCCCTCCAGTAATTTGAGACTGGCAACTCCAGTGGCTGAGATGCCGGGAACCCAGGGTGCGTTAGGTCCAACAGTGCTGTTCTGGGGGGCCATCTAGGGTCCCTAGCCACTCTCAGCAGAAACAACCAGACAGAAGAGGAGGTAGATGCAGGCAGCAGGGGTATGCCTGACACCCCAGAGACTCCATCTAAGCAGAATGGGAGCTTTCTACACCCACCATGAGCAGATTCAGCCTGAGTCTGGGGACTAAGGGAAGCCTAACGGATTGAGCCATGGGACGGCTGTCCAGAAAGACTCTACGCGCTTTTAGCAGCGTTTGAAGAGAGAAAGAGACACGGTTCTATGATCTCCAGAATATATTGGCATTTTGGTTTTTCTCTGCCTCAGCTTCTGATCCCTCCGGCAGCTGTCCCTCTGGGCACGGATCTTGCATAGTAAATGTTTGTGAGTATATGTGTGAAGGGGTGTGCTGGATGGGTGGATATTCACCCACTTAAGAAGCAGCAACACTGTGAGTTAGATTTGGACTTGACCCCCTGGGTTCGACTGCCAGCCCAAACCCTGACGAGCTCTGTTATTCTGGATAAGTCACCGAACCTCTCTGAGCCTTCCAGAACTACAGACTGGGGAAAATAATATTTCCTCTCTCTAGAGCTACTGAGGTATCTGTATGTGAAAGCACTTTCTAAATATCAGTAATTTTCATATTTGATCAGCTTTGCAGATCCAGAATTTCTATGTTTAACAAGTCACACAGGATTTACCAGCTCAAAAAAAAAAAAAAAAAAAAGAAAAACTGGCTCAAAGGCTGACCAAATCAGCATGAGAATAACAACCAATGGTGATACTACTAATGATGATACCCTTTGCATTTGAATGCTACTTCATATAAAATTTCAGTCATTTCTCATGTGTGATATAATTTTACTCCTTTAGAAAAATGTCAATTTTCAATTGCTCCTTACTCTGTAAACTCATGTCTGCCCTTCCTATTGCCTGGAGAATCTGCTTTGGAAAACCACATTAAGATAATTTGGTTGCCTGGAATCGAAGCGAGGAAATTGGATAGCTCTGTTTCATCAGGTTACAGCCGCCTGATGAGTCACCCCATCCCTCTTCGGGAATGTATCCTTTGAGTGGAACAGACACTCCAGCCAACGGCAAAGTGTTTCTTAATTGCCTGTCCCCTTGTGTTGCTTGTGAAGACATTATTTTTCTGACGTCCCTAGTCTGACTCATTCATCAAATGACACAGTTCCGGGTGCCCACGCTCAGTCCTCCTTCAACAAACCATCCACTTTGGAATCTCAAAAGTGGAAGGTACTTTTGAAATTGAGTTTAATGCCTCACTTCCATATGAGGAAACTGAGGCCCAGGGATGCAGAGTGGCTTCCCTCCAGCAGTGATCGGCCAGAAACAGGATCCAGGCCACCTGCCCCAATCCACTGTGCTCCCCGCCCCGTTAACAATGCATCTCTTCCTTCTCATCGTCTTTCATCAATATGGCTTTTGATGTCAGGTGGGTGGTGACTTTCTTGTGTGTAGAGGATCTTTACCTTGTATGTCTTTGATTCCTTACAGCACTCATAGGGAAGAATTGTAGTTGACACAGGGCCTACCTTGAATGGTGTCGCCTCCCTTCCTATCCCACTCCCCTCCTTTCAGGGTCTCTTCTCCCCTCAGGGAACCTCTTTTAGGTTGAAGTTGCTGAGAACCTTTGCCCATTGGGGTCCAGTGTCCTGGGGGGCATCCCTGACTCCATTCCAGGAGGATGATGGCAGTGCTCCCGTTCTTTAGAATAGAGTCCTGTCTGACAAAGAATCCTAGTGAATTCGATGGTTGAAAGATCCTCTGCCCAGCAGCAGCGTGGGGATGGGAAGAACAAATACCTTCATTCTGCTACATGTGTTTTTTAAAACAAAAATTACAAGAGTCAAACGTCATGTTTTGCAAAGAATGTTTTTCCCACAAATGAATATGGCATGAATACTTTCTCCATTTCATTAAATACAGGATCAGAGCATTTCTAACCTGTAAAGAGCTCTTCAAGGACCATCTAGCTGAGGTCACTCATGTTACAGATAAAGAAACTGAGGACTAGAGAAGTCAGAAGCCTTCACAAGGACATAACCCATTGCCCTGACTCTCAATACAGTGCTCCTTACACAACACTAGTGCAGCTGGTGAGGAAGTTCAGAGGAAATCAAGGTCGAGTGTGCCTTTAGGAGGTTTGGGAATGCACTTCCTTTCAGCCAAAGGCAGGTGGGACCTCGATCTGCCCCACAGGAGGGTGGGTAAAGGATGCTGACTCTCCACCGAGAACCATGCCAGAGACCCTCAACCTCTCCAGGAGCCTGGGCTCTTTGCAGAGGAGTGCTGTCCTAGGTACTCAGAGCCATGACGCCTGCTAACCAGTGCTTCACAACTCACTGAAACGACAGGAGACACCTCAATGGGACGCCATTCCCAAGGGCCTATTTCACTGCTTTCTAAGTTTGCTGGATTTATCCTGGATATATGTCTTGGAAAAAAAAAAACTCTCAAAGTTGCTTTAAAAGAGAGCTATGTGAATTCCTTCACCTTGCACCAGAGTTTAGGATAAGCGTTGGTAGTTAGGACGCAAAGTCATGCTGAAAGGGCTGCCCATGGCACCACTCTCCAAACATTTTGGGGTTTACTTCTGTCTTTGTTTTCTTTCTTTCTTTCTTTTCCTTTCTTTCTTTCTTTCTTTCTTTCTTTCTTTCTTTCTTTCTTTCTTCCTTCTTTTTTTTTTTCTTTTTGAGAAGGAGTCTTGCTCTGTCGCCCAGGCTGGAGTGCAGTGGCGCGATCTTGGCTCACTGCAACCTCCATATCCTGGGTTCAAGCAATTCTCTGCCTCAGCCTCCCAAGTAGCTGGGATTACAGGCACCTGCCATCATGCCCAGCTATTTTTTTTTTTTTTTGCATTTTTAGTAGAGACGGATTTTCACCATCTTGGCCAGGCTGATCTTGAACTCCTGACCTCGTGGTTCACCTGCCTCAGCCTCTGAAAGTGCTGGGATTACAGGCGTGAGTCACTGTGCCCGGCCACTTTGTTTTCTTGGTCAAAAGCAGCATAATGTAGAGTTTAAGAGCACAGACCCTGGAGTCGAACTGCTTGGATTCAAGTCCAGCCCCACCACTTACTAGCTGTGTAAGCTCAGCCAGATTATTCGAGCTCAGCTTCTTCATCTATAAAATGGGGACAATTATAAATAGTGCCTACCTCTTGGGGTTGTTTTGAGGACTGAATCAGTTAATGCATGTAGAACCCTAAAAATAGTGCTTGACCATAAAATGGCTAGATAAATGATCATTAAAGGGGAAAATGACATGCTAAGCATGTCATCTGTAGCTCAGTGCCACTATTTATGTATTTATTTATTTATTTTTCCTCCCCTCTTCCTCTCCCTCTTCCATCTCTCTCTCTCTCACTCACCCAATCTCTCTGCCAACTTCTTGATAGGCCTGGTTAGAGGATAATTGTTTTATGTGACAAGCAGCTTGTACTGTGGGTGGGAGAATATCAGTCCTACTATTTTCGTGTTGCCCTTTTTTATTGTGATGTTAATATTATTGTCAGTACACCGTGGATTTATTTATTTGCTTCCTGATTTCTGCAGTAGTCTTTTTAATCCTCTTATCCACTTTGTGAGAGTTACCCAATCTAACTCTGTCACAGAGATTGGCAAACTCTTTGCAAAGAGCTAGATAGTAAATATTTTCATCTTGGCAGGCCATATGGTCTCTGTACCAACTACTCTTCTCTGCCATTGTACTATGAAAGCAGCTTATGGCAAAATGAATGTATGACTGTGTTCCAATAAAACTTTATTTATGAAAATAGGTGGCAGGGCATAGTTTGTTGACCCCTGATATAGATAAACAGATTCATAAATCCACTTTGCTCATGAAAATTGCAATAGGGAACAGTGTTCTAGATGAAGAAGGGGCAAAGCCTGCAGGGAAAAGGGCTTGACGTGCGCAGATGCATGGCAGGGCCAGGGCAGACTCTGACTGCAGCTCAGCCAGTGAGACTCAAACTGCCTTCCAGCAGAGGCTCTGGGCATGGAAGACGCCTTTCTAATAAGGAGTCAGAAATATAAGAGAACTGGAAAGAGTAGGAAGCAACCCAGTTGGATGTCTGGAGGCGGGGCAAGCCTCCTCACTTCCACAGGATGACCGTGAGAGTGTCGTGGGCAAGGAATTAGAGTTTCCAGATATAGGTGATGGTGGGAACTGTGGCTACAGCCAGGCCAGGGGCTGGCAGGGTGAGCAGCAGGTTAATGGGCCAGAAGTTCAAGTAAGTCCCTCTGGGGTCCCCATGAATAAGGACAGGCCTGGAGGGCAGAGCTCTGGCAGTTTCACTGAGAGGTACAGAGTCCCAGAGCACTGTTTTGTTTCTAGATTGCTAGAAATCCTAGCAACTCCCTTCCCCAGATGTACTGAAATCCATTGGCCTGGGGGAGTGCAGGTTAGATCAGAACAAAAGGGATTCAGGAAGGGGAGGAAGGAACAGCGGGCCCGGAGCTCATTATGGTATGGGCACCAAAAGGCAATCACGCTAGGCGTGGAGCTGATTCTCCTTTTGTGACTGCACGTCTGTGTCTCACTCTTGTCGCACTGTGTTCTGGCTCTGCCAGCGGTGTGTAGTGGACTGGAAGACTCTTCTGAGTAAAACCCAGCGGGACAATCTGTCTTGGTGCTTCTGGGCGTCGTGAAGGAAATGTCCAGCTCTTGAACTTTCCCAACCATGACTTCAAACAGATCCAGCTCCTGCGCATCACCGTCACTTCTTCTCTCAAGCCCCATGTATTAGTCTACTGGGACTCCCACAGCAAAATACCACAGACCAGGTGAATTAAAAACAGAAATTCGCTTTCTCACAGTCCTGCCTCCGCACCTGAGGACCAGCTCATCCAAGAATCAGCTGGAAGTCCAGACCAAGGTGTGGGCAGGGCTGGTTTCTCCCGAGGCCTTTCTCCTTGGCTTGTAGATGACTGTCTTCTCCTTGTGTCCTTGCAGGGTCTCCTCTGTGCATGTCTGGGTCCTAATCTCTTCTTCTCATGTCCCCATGAATAAGGACAGGCCTGGAGGGCAGGGCTCTGGCACTGCCCTAAGAGATACAGAGTCCCAGAGCACTGTTTGGTTTCTAGGTTGTGACCCCGTTCCCCGATTGTACCCAGACCCATTGTCTCCTCCAATGAAATTAGTCCCACCCCAATGACCTCACTTAACCTTAATTACCTCCTTAAAGACCATATCTCCAAATGTGGTCACATTCTTCAGTACTGGGGGTTAAGCCTTCAGCGTGTGAATTCTGTAGGATGCAGTTCAACCTGGAACACCCCACGTCCAATCTGTGAACGAATCCCGGCAGCTCCACCTTCACAATATATCAGGAATCCAGCCACCTCTCCCCACCTTCCCTACTGTCTTCCTGGTACAAGCCATTGCTGACTGCCATCTGCACCAACTGTACTTGCCTCCTAGTAGCCAAAGGTGCCTCTGAATTCCCTTCTCCAGGTAAGGGCCAGACGGTCATTTTATTCCATTTCATTTTGTCTATTTTTTATTTTTATTTTTTTAATTTTAATTTTTTTTTTTTTTTTTTTTTTGAGACGGAGTCTCACTCTGTCACCCAGGCTGGAGTGCAGTGGCACGATCTCAGCTCACTGAACCTCTGCTTCCTGGGTTCAAGGAATTCTCCTGCTTCATCCTCCCAAGTAGCTGGGATTACAGGCACCTGGCACCATGCCTGGCTAATTTTTGTATTTTTAGTAGAGACAGGGTTTCTCCATGTTGGCCAAGCTGGTCACAAACTCCTGACCTCAGGCAATCCGCCCACCTCGGCCTCCCAAAGTGCTGGGATTACAGGCGTGAGCCACCGTGCCCTGCCTATTTTTAAATAATTTATAAGATGGGGGTCTCACTATGTTGCCCAGGTTGGGGTGCAGAGGCTATTCACTGCGCTCCCTCATGATCATTGTGCACTGTGACCTCCAATTCCTGGACTCAAGAGATCCTCCTGTCTCAGCCTCCCAGACAGCTGGTACTACAAGTGCACGCCACCAAGCCCAGCCGGGTGGTCATCTTAAAACACACGTCTGATCATGTCACCCCTCTGCCCAGTGGATTCTCTCCAGTGGATTCTCACCTTATTTGGAATAAAAACCAAAATCCTTACCAGCGACTACAAGGCTTTACATGATGTCTCCCCCGACTTTCCTTCTCCAACACTCTCCCCCTCACTCACGTAGCTCCAGCCTTGCTGACCTCCTTGCATTCCACACGCACACTGTGCCCCTCCTTCTGCTCCCTTTGCCTGGGGCACCGTTGGCATCTCCTCCTGACTCCCTTTCTTCTTCCTGGGTTCTGCCCAGTGCCTCCTTATCAGAAGCCCTTCCCTGATGATGCTGCATAGAGTAACATCCCAGCCCTGTCTCCATCTCCGGGATCCACTCTTCCTCGCACTTAGGACCAGCTGACGTGTGTGTGTGAATTGCATTTGGTAGTTATCATCTGTCCTCCTACTAGAAATTAAGTTCCACAAAAGTGGGGGCTTTGTCTTGTTCTGTGCTGTTCTCCCAGCTACAGAGAGGATATTAGAGGATATTTGTTGATTGCACCAATGAGTACTATCTAGGATGAGAAATCTAAGAAATTAAAAAGGGAAAGGCCAGCTTTCAGACAAAGTATGGTGGGTATATTTCCTATGATTCATAAGCTTACCTGATTTTTTTTAGCATTCACGGCCAGGGTGTTATTCACAGCCTTACATTGTCAGTCTACTGCTGTGTTATATTTTAACCTACATCAGAACAAAATTCCTTGAGAACATGGACCATAATTTTTCCCTTATACATAGTCCTAGCTCAAGGGAAACAACCACCAAGTCCAGTTAGCAGCATCTGCCACGGATGCAGGGGGAGGGTGTGGAGGCATCTCCCCATGTCTCTGCTGACTTGATGCAACAGAAAGAACCTAAGGACGCAGGAGGAGTCCTATGGCCCTGGTTCAAGTCCTAGGACCACCACTTGCTAGTCATATGAGTAGTAATTATTTCTCAGAGTCTCATTTTCTCATTTGTATAAATGAAGATTGTAATATTTTACCCAAAAGGGTTACTGTGAGGATTCAAGAGAAAGCAGATAAAGTACCAAGCACACACCTGGAACACAGCAAGACCCTCAGTGAATGCCACGAAGATTCCCCTCGCCGAACCACACAGGCTACAGTAGTCAGAAAGCACCCACTGGTAAAAAGAAACTCATAAAGTTGCCAACAGAAGAGCCAAGTTCATGAAGAGACATGAGTGGGTGATAAGAGACATGCAGTTTTCTGGGTCAGGAGAGCAGCTGATATATGATCCAGGGTATCGGGTATGTCCAAGTGAGCGATCTGGGGACTACAGCGGGCTCTGATGTCTGTGCTTTGTCAGAGGGTACATACTATTCTCCCTGAAATCCCCTGAGGGAATATATTTGAAAGCTATAAAACTGTACGGTGTGGCATAGGGTATCTCCTGGCTTCCTCCTGTTTCTGGGGTCTTTCTTCGCTGCGTAGAGAAGACCTTATCCATGGGAAATTTCTGTCCTCAACGGTAGCCCACTTGCTCCTTGGGACTTTTCAGACATTTTATTTTGTTCTTGAGTGTCTGACCCCTTCTCATCCCAGGAGGTTCT